AATTTTATTTATTGTTGTTATTATTTTTAAATTTGACCTGGGAGAGATAGATAGAGGGAAATTGAGAAAACAAGCCACCAAGTCCAGGACTCGAACTACGATTGACCATGTGGGAGTCCAGTACCTTAACTACTGCAACCAGTTGGCCCCAATCATTTTTTCATAAAGGGAATAGCTTTTACTACCTGATAATGAAAATAATGTCACTGGAAGCAAAACCTATGATTAATTGAACTAATAGCCATAGAAGAAAATGTGAATTCAGTCTTCCTTTAACTATCTTAAATCTTTGGTTAACCTGGAGACCCAGATCTAAAAAGTTATGAAGTCTTGGCTAGATAATCTTAATAAGCGTGCAAACATATTTTTCCCATATGTAGCTTATATTTTTATTGAAAAACTATAACAAAAATGTTGGATAATTTTGGGAACAAAATATGTACTTATCTGCTACCACCATAGGAAAATCATTTTCATTTGTGCGTTTCTTTCTTGCCATATGTGGCCATGAGCAAGAAGACGATATTTGAACAAAATCAGTTCCACCATTATGAGCCCATAATTTGCTCTCTGTTTCTCACATGATATAGGAAAGTGGTATAAAATATATTTAGAAGCTTAGGACACATTTTTATAATTTTAGCAATAAAACAGTTAAACTTATTCTAGGTTGGCATTTTGTCATTCAGGTCTCAGTTCAAATGTTATGTCTTCAGAGAGAACTTACTTGACAACTCAATTTTTTTTCTTTTTTTGGTAGTTGCACCTCCAGCATTTAATATACTTTTAAATAGAAATAGCAACAAACATAATGTTTTTAAATTTTAAAGTAACTTAATAAAATTTCCCCAGCCTTCAGTATGAAAAGATCCAGTTTTTCACTGTTAGACCCCATTTCCTCACATGTCACCTTTGCTGTGTTGATAATTCACCAGAAGTGGGGCCAGGAGGTGGTGTAGTGATTAAGGCGGTGTAGTGGGTAAGGCGCTGGACTCAACATGTGGTCGACCATGGTTTGAGTCCCAGAGATGGCAGCTTGAAACTCACCCAGGGTACGTGTGTGCATACCCAAATTCCTGAGAGGAGAGTAGAGGAGAAGGGATTGAAGCAAGGCCATCCCCACGGGAGGGTGATTGCCTCCTTTCTGTCTCTCTGTCTCTCTGTCGAGTACATATACCCTATAGCAAAAATCTCTCAAAAAAAAAAAAAATTCACCCGAAGTATGTTTCAATATCTATGTTCTAGATGTTCACACCACTTTTCCTTCCGGCCATATAGAATTCTTACATGCAACAGACAGTGGCAGCAGTGTGTACTTGGTGCAGATAAGCTCAAAGTAATGCGCGTATCAATGCTTTTCAAAGACTTTCACAGGTTTAGGCAATGTAAGAGCATATGATAGTTGGCAGCATTCACAGCCAGATTAAAGTTCTTTAGACACTATTTCCAACATGGTATGGAATTTACATTTGACCCCAGAATAATATTTGTTTGGACATTGCGTATTTTCCACCAGAACTAGCGTCTCTGCATCTTCACGAGCGTTAGCATTTAGCTCCAAGTACCTGTGGAAGGACCACTAAATAGAAAGGTCCCGGTGGTTTTATTGTTTTTGCTTGTTCATTTGCCATAAGGTGTGGAGCTCTCTAGGGAGACACCCAGAGAGAAAGAGAGCAATGACCCTCCAGGAAGGCTGGCCACCTCATCATCCCTTCTCCATTCTCCTCTTATTTTTTAGGATTTTGGGCACACATGCATATGCATCCTGAGTGGTTTTCAAGATGCTGGATCTGGGACTCAAAACTGTGGAGTCAGCCACATGGGATCTAGCACCTTAACTTCCATGCCACCTACTGGCTCAGTTTATTGTCTTTGAGATTTAATAAACCAAATAGCATTTTTATTGAGTATTTTCATAGTGTCTTCAGCACTGTGCTAGGGCAAAAAGAAGTAGTACAAATAAATTATGAGGTGATAAGGGTGTTTAAATGCTAGTTGATGGTACCAAGAGGTGGAGTGGTGGTTAAAGTGCTGGACTTCCACATGGGAGACCACAGTTTGTGTCCCGGTCCAGGTAGCTTACTTCCTCTCTCTCTCTCTCTTTCTGTCTTTCTCTAGTCAAATTAAAACAATAATAGTAGTAAATGTTAGGTGACAATGCAAACAGGTAGAGACTAGAGCATAGTGTCCAGTTTAGTGCATTTATTAGGACATACAGTGGGCCAGTCCTGTGTTAGAATTGGTAAGAAAACAGCTCTGTCCTCAAGGAATTGTGTCCAGTTGTAGTGATTCTGAGATCTGAGATTCTGATGAAAGTAATTGACTATCTACATTGTCCTAAGCTTTGAGAGTCTTTTGGAGTTCATTCAGAATTTTTGGGAGGGGTGAATGACTATAGAAGAATAAGCTAGATAGGCAAGATGTAATTGAGGGACCAGCAGCTAGAGTAATGGCTATGTTTCTGGATTCCCATGTAATCGACTATGGTTCAAGTCCCAGTCCCAGAGGCTTAATTAAATTCACACCAGGCATGTGTACATGCATGCCTGAGATCCTGAGAGACTAGAGAAGGGATTGTGATGTGGCCATCCCCCGAAGGTGATTTCTCACTTTCTGTCTCTCTCTCTCTGTCTCTGTCTCTCTCTCTCTCTCTGTCTTCCTGGCAAGTGCACGTGCCCTATAAAAAAACTTTTCAAAAAATGTATATATAATTGAGATGAGAGTGAATAAAATACAACCCGAGTAACTTTTAAAACATTTTCTTGAGGAATGATGTATCCATCTGTTGATCTATCTAGACATGTCTAATTCTAATGCTTAGACACTGTTTCCAGGTTCATTTTCAAAAACACAACTTTAATTATGTCACCCCATAATTAAAACCTTCAGTGGGTTCCAGTTGCCTGTAGCAGCAGTTTCTGCCTTTTCCCCTGTTTTGACAAGCACGTGTGGTAGATGATGGATGTTATGTATCTGAGCAGCTCCAGTCACATCCAGTGTATGCCCAGGATGCCGTGCAGATTCAGCTCGCCGGCGTAACTGCTGCCTTGTCCAGGTCAGGAAGGTGCATCACGGTGCACAGAGGTGGGAAGGCATTCTCACCTGCTCTGTGTCCCCAAAGGAAATTACTCCCCAGCTCTGCTTTCCCGCGCCTAATAACGTACTTGTCAAGTGTCAGATTAATAATTGTGTAGGTCACGATGCCACAGGCGAAACCTACATTCTCACTGTTAAATCCAGACTTCTGGGTTAATCTTTCTGTGGTATGCAGTGCAAGACATTGTCCAGTCTGAGTCTAAACCGGATCTCGGGGCTACCTAACCCTGTGTCTCCCACCCCGCCTGGCATACACAGGTATCCTTGCCAGATTACTTAAAAATGTGGAAGCACATTCTGACCGAGATACCTTCTGCCCTCTTCTCCACACAATGAGCACACACGCTTTCCCGTGTTAACTGCAAGTGGAAACGTTGGCTCCTCCGGGAGACCTTCCGAGCAAACCTGAGGCTGCCCTGTTCCAGCCCAAGCCACAGGAAGGGTTACAGGCCCTCCCTGGGTTCCTGCATGACTTCCTGTCTAAGTACTAGGTTCCTTTTTCTCTCATCTTGTCCTGTTATGTCTCTACCCCGTTATAGCCCTTTTATATCCATTTATTCACCAAAACCCACGTTTTATTTTTCTGTGTTCTCAGAACTTCGCATGAGGAATGCACTTAGGGGATATTTACTGAAGATGCTTCAGCAAAGGTTGCTAGCAGACCTGACCTTTGCATGTGCTTGCGCCATGTTTTGGTAATTTGCATTAAAGAAAAAGAATAAACTATGCAAAACTAAACATGTCTTGAGTGAAAGGTACTTTTTCCCTTCGTATGCTTGAGACCGTTGTTTTAAGTGCTTCTTACACCGACTGCCTCTCCAGTTTCCAGAAGCCGGTCACACACGCCCCGCGCCTTCCTGTCATCTGCTGGTCTCTATGCCAGACTTGAGGGATTCCTCTCCCTGCTGCTAGGTCCTCAGAGGGTGGGAAAGAGAAAGGAGACTCGGCTGCTGGTTTTCGATCTCTCGGCATCTCTGCCGCAGAATTTGACAGGGAAAGAAATACTGACACAGACTCCATAGCTTCCCCAGTTTCCTTCGTAACTGTTACTCTCAATATTCTCAATCAGCATCAATACTCCATACTCATCGTTCTCTTTTTCATGTTTACAAAAGAGATTAACAAGAGCGAGCCCAGGTATTCTCTGAAGATAAATGTATTCCAAACGGAAATGAAAGTAATTTGGAAATCATTCAGTCACAGAGTTTCTGTCATTTTTCCCCCCTTTCTCTCATGCTAGGAAATAATGATCTACAAAGAGTGAAAGAGCATCTCCCCACCCCCATTCTTACAGGAACGTGGAATGTAGGAGAAATGAGATTGTGATGTAGTTCCTCGCACAGTGGAGGCTCACTGAGTGGTTGACGTGGGTTTAATGTGTATTGCACGTTTGGAAGTTACACAGGTGACCCGGTAGAGAGGCGGATGGGTGCATGGTGGGTGGATGGTCGGTGACTTGGCAGGTAGATAGGAAAGAGAGAAAAAGAGAGGCACACACAGAATAACAGGCTCACCATCTATGCTTGCTATTTATTTATAACACTTAAAAGCTTTGTATTAAAATGTTGCCATATTTTCCAAGTACATTCATTTAAAATAAGAATCTTAAGTAGGCAGTCTTAAATTTCTTTTAAAAAATGACTTCTGGTCTAGCTGACTTTACAAGCATCTTATCGGCTGGAAAAGAGAACAGATGGTCCTGAGACAAGGTCATGGCCCCTGACTTCATGGCTCAGGGGCTTCTGAGCATGCGCATGTTGTCTATCTTGTGGAAAGCACGTCTTGAATTTTTTTATTTCTTTGCCTCGTGACATTGCTGCATGAGCTTCTTAGAACCATTGTGAGTCTTTATGAGACTGTATTCGTTTTCCTTTTTATACTAAATGTATGGATTTATCTTTTAGATTTCCATGTAGAAGAAGTACTGAGTTGGCCAGGAATGTACTTGTTACCAGTCCAAGTTTCTGGGGTAGCCCTGGACCTTAACAATAACCTGGTGATTTTCCACAGAGGCGATCATGTCTGGGATGGCAAGTAAGTAAGATTTTTTTTTTTCCTTCAAAGAGTAAATAAAACTAGTACACACAATTGTTCATTAAGTGAAGAATAATGGCAGGAGAACTATAAAGGTTCTTCTTGAACTTGGTTCTTATGAGCAAAGCATATTTGTTTTTCTAATGGGTGACTAAGAAGCAAAGTCCATCTCGTGCATTTTACAGTGAGGTGCCCTCACTCGTTTGTAGAAAGAAGGCGGTAGCCATCTCATCCTATCTATTGGGTTGTCAGAAGAGTCATGACATGTTTTTTTCTGTTTTTCTTATTTATTTTTTATTTTTTTGGAGAGGTCTTTGCTATAGGGCGTATGCACTCACCGGAAAGACAGAGAGACAGAAAGCAAGAAATCACCCCCCAGAGGGGATGGCTGCATCGCAATCCCTTCTCCTCCATTCTCCTCTTAGGATCTTGGGCACACACGCACACATGCCCAGTGTGAGTTTAGGCCAGTGGGTCTGGGACTTGAACTGCGGTAGACTCTGTGGGAGTCCAGCAACGTAACTATTACACCATCTGCTGGTCCCCTTTTCTGTTTTTCTATGAAAAAAATGTGTCATGACTTTTCCGACAACCCAGTATTTAACATTTCATTCCTTTCTCCTTAAAGCTACCTTCGCTTCCTAAGGGGAGTCAGATCAAAGTCAGTAGACTGCTGAAACAGTTCAGGACGTCAAAAACAGAGACTGTAGTAACTACCGGTTGACTCTAATAAAGCACTTTGTGTGTTCGTGTCCTGGGCGCAGAACTGGTCTAAGGCCATGGACTCTCCCTGTCCCTCAGATCATCCCATCCACGGCAGTGAGAACAGGTAGCCTTCTGAACACTATGGAAGAAGTTGGTCGTCTGCCACATGTGCAGAAGTAATATTTTGGCCTTCACTTTTTTTAAAATTTGGTATAGGGGGCTTGTGTTTGATGGAGAGAAACAGAGGGGGAAAGCCAACAATCCCCTCCCCCTCCTCCTCCATTCTCCTCTCAGAATTTTGGGCACGCATGCACACGTGCCTGGCATGTTTCTCAAGCTACCCATTTGGGACTCGAACCGCACGGTCAGACACGTGGGATCCTACCACCTTAACCACCACGTCACCTGTTGGCCTGCCTTTACATTTTAATATAGATCAACTTTACTACTCAAATTTTTTTCTTTTCATGAACATCAAAGATTGAAAATAACACTGGGACCGTCTAATAATCCTAATTTTTTTTCTTTGGGTTTCCCTTTCAATCTTTTACTCTCTTTTCTACTACCTTCTTAGAGGGCTTGGTTGTTTGTTTTAATAAAAATGACTGTCATTCATTGAGTGTTTACTCTGGGCCTGGCTCTATTCTAAATGTTTTCATAAACTACCTCAGAGAAGTGAAATGTTTTGCACAAAGTCTCACAGTTAGCAAGTGGCGAAGCTAGGCTTTCCCTCCTTCCCAGCCACCTCCAGAGTTGGCCCCCTTCACCTTAACCTCTTCGGAATCCTGCTTTTAGCGGAATAGTAAGCACATTCACAATGACTGCATTTTTAAAAAAGCTTGCTGCCAAGTTTGGCAGGTTATTTTAATTCTCCTGAGTAATGAATGAATCCATGTATTCATTTCTTTTGAGTTTAAATATGAAAGTAAATGTTAAAATAATCTGATCAATTAAGTCCAACGGATGTTTTCCTTTCACGTGTGGGACACAGGGTGTCATTTGTAAAACTGAAGATCTACATATATCGCTCAATTGTTTTTCCTCCATTTTCAGAGAGGCTGATTAAACTTACCTTAGCCAACCAACTACACATACGGAGTTTTCTTGGTGTAATTAAAGAAAGGATTCCATCAGCATTTCAGAGTGGATAGGTTACTTTGTTACCATGTAATTGTCCTCTCCAGCTGTCCTACTTGAAAGTCAAATCTGAGAAGAATCATTTCAGAGTTCAAAGCAAACAGCTGAAGTCAGGTTCTCATTGGTATGTCTCTGTGACATGGTCTTGGTCCTTATTGAACATCTAATGGTATTTTAACAAGTGCTCTTAAAAGCTGTTACTGTTCATTGTAGCATGTTCTTCATTTTAATGAATATTGCTACACTTTCTGCATGGATTTCTAGCTACTTTTTACCAGATTAGAAAATTACAGCATCATTTTCTCTCATTGGTCCTGTTTCAGCTGGCTAACGCTAAACTGGATGAAGTCCAACGTTCTATCTTAATTCCGTCTTAATGTGATAGTCACTCCAAGTTAACAGTACAGGCTGGAATAGTTCAATAGCAAAAGGGGTCGGGAGAGGCCGCCTGGGGTAGGGATGATGCAGGTCTGTATGACGTATTCACCATCCTAGCTGGAGAACTGCTCCCCCCCCAGCATCTAGCTTTTGTCTGCATAGCCAGCATCGTGTGGAAGCAGATTCCGGTTTCGTTGTCAAAGTCCTGGTGTGTTTGCCTTGATAAATGGCATCAGTGAAGGGCGCTGGTGAAAATGCAGAGACAGGGAGCTGCTGGTCTTACTCACTAAGTCTCTGTTTCTTGTTTCTCCTTTTTTGTTATCTATGGATAAGAATACCTGCCACCTCTTTCCTTCTCCCTTCCTGCTGTTAGACGTTGGCCCCTAGCAGCCTCTGCAGCTCTTGATTATGAAGAAATTATTTTCAGGCTTTCAAATCTCTGCATCCAGTTACCCTTGGCTTTGTTATTCATGAAGAGAATTAGAAGCTCATTACTACATTAGTTACTATTCTTATTTTTTTGAAAAGAAATTCAATTTTTTAATTTAATTTTATTTACTATTATCATTATTACATTTTAATTTGTTATAGGACATGTGTGCTCATGAGAGAGAAGGGGGAGAGAGAAAGTGAGAAAGCAAACTACCAGGTCTGGGACTCAGACTGTAGTCTGCCATATGGGAGTCCAGCACCTTAACCACCATGCCACATGCCGGCCCCATAAATTCAATTTTTTAAAGTGATTTTTGCTATAAGGCATGTGTACTTACTGGAGAGACAGAGATACAGTGAGAAGTCACCACCTGGGGGAGTAGTCATACTGCAATCCCTTTTCCTCCATTCTCCTCTGAGGATTTTGGGCTTATATGCACAGGGGCCAGAGTGATTTTCAAGCTGCAGGGTCTGGGACTCGAACTGTGGGTGACCATGTGGGAGTCCAATGCCTTAACCACTATGCCACCTACTGGCAATAGATTCAGTTTTTATGCAAGGAACAATTTTGTTTCGGGCTCTGTCCTTTGGTCATATGTGATCACGCTTCCTACATACATAAGTCACATTATTATAAATTAGACAAAGTAGTTAGATTTTCTTCTTTATTAAAAATTCAAGGACTAGGGGAACCAGCAGTTAGCCTAATGGCTATGTCACTGGACTCCCACGTAGTTGACCGCGGTTCACGTCCCGGACCCGGTAGCTTAAAACTAATGCCGGGCGCGTGTGCGTGCGTGCCCAAGATCCCGAGAGGAGAATGGAGGAGAAGGAATTGCGGCATGACCATCCTCCCTGGGGGGTGATTTCTCGCTTTCTGTCTCTATGTCTCTGTCTGTCTGGTGAGCACACGTGCCCTATAGTGAAAATCTCTCAAAAAAAAAAAAAAAATTCAAGGACTATACAAAGTAAAAGCATCCTTCTATTATGATGTGCTGGTGAAAGACCATGGAAATTAAAAATCAGCTGGAAATTTAATTCTCATCGCTACCGTTGTTTGGTTAGAATAGCAAAGAAATTTTATATTAATTTTTGGGGGAGGATCTTTCTCATCTTGATATGCCACAGATTCACATGATTGCAGGTTTCGTAAGACTCTAAGTCAAACGTAGACACCTCTATAGTTCCTAGGAGGTGATGATTCTTTAAGGATAGAGGTTGCTGAGTCTGTCATAATCCCCCATTAATGCTCAGTATCCAGATCTCCTTTGATCATTGCATGAACTGCCTTCATGAGTCTTATTTCTTTTATCCCTGCCTGATGGCCTTAATCAGCCTTACTCTCCTATTTAACGATGCTAAATTAGCCGGACAACCAAAATAACACAATTAATAATCCTAAATCACTAACCTTCTGAAGATGATAGTCACTCCCTCAATTTGATTACCCTGTTTCTTTCCTACTTCAGTTTGGCTACTTTAAGAAACTTCTTCCAGTTGGGACCAGCAGTTAGTGCAATGGCTATGTTGCTGGACTCCCACATAGTCGACCACGGTTCGAGTCCCGGACCTGGTGGCTTAAACTCACGCCGGGCATGTGTGCGTGCGTGCCCAAGATCCCAAGAGGAGAATGGAGGAGAAGAGGTTGCAGTTTGACCATCCCCCCTGGGGGGTGATTTCTCGCTTTCTGTCTCTCTGTCTCTGTCTGTCTGGTGAGCATACGCGCCCTATAGCAAAAACCTCTCCAAAAAAAAAAAAGAAAGAAACTTCTTCCAGCTAAGACAGGAAGTGCATCTTGCCAGCAGAACATAGTGAAACTTAGAGCCTCTTGTCTGTCCTGGTGTTAGGAAAGTTGGCAGCTCGAGCTCTTTGAGGTTTATATCTTCCCAGCAGGGGCTGGGCAGCTCCTGCCTCAGTAACAGCTGTTTCTGGGCCTCTGTCTAAAACCACCCCACCGTCAAAGGCTTGCCTTCTGACCTTCCTTTCATGTACCGCAGCTGTGGCCGGGTCGTGTTATCCTGGACTCACATCACGTACCCACTTCATTAACTGGTTCTTGCCCCTGACTTTAAGGTGTTAAAAGTTGTATCTCATATCATTTATCATTTCTTTTTTATTATTATTTTTTAAATTTGTTTAAAGAAATTTTAGAGGTTTTTGCCTTAAGGTATGTGTGCTTACTGGAGAGAGAGAGAAACAGAGACAGTGAGAGGGAAAGTGAGAAACACCTCCCAGGGAGGATGGCCATGCTACAATCCCTCCTCCTCCGTTCTCCTCCCATGATCTTGGGCACCCACGTGCACACCACTGGGTCCAGAACTCAAACCGTGGTCAGCCATGTGGGAGTC